ATCTGCCACCAGAACTATGATTGCCAGCATTCCTGGTGCTCCCCGCACTCTGGGCTTCCACTTCTGGTCCCGGGGCTGCCATCAGAACTATTCCCAGAATTCCTGGTGCTCCCCGTGCTGCTGGGAGTGACCATGGGAGCCACATCCCCCCAAGCCTCTGGCTCTCCTGCTCTGCTCTCCACCCAGCGGCTTGGGGGGAGTGACAGAGGGAGCTGCTCTCCACCTGGCGCCTGTGTATGCAAATTAACCCGCCATCTTTGTTGGGTTAATTTGCATACTCACTCCTGATTGGCTGGTGAGCATAGCAGAGGGACAGTCAATTTACATGTTTCTATTGTATTATATAGGCTTTTTGCTTAAACTTTTTATTTGAAAAGTATATTTAGAAGTCCAACAATTTTTCAATATAAATTATGACTCTCAAACCTATTCCCATCACTCTAGATATTGTTAAAGTGATGGTAGCACACACATAAGAGAAGGTAGCTAAAGGAGAGCAGGCAGGAGCTCATCTGGACACAGAGCAGGCAGGAGCTCATCTGTCCTGTTCTGCCTCCTAATCTCCCTGCAAGGAAGGGGGCAGGGCAAAACACACCTGAGAAAACGGAAAGTGCCCGAAGACCCTGCTCCTCCATTACTTTCCCACCCAAAGCAGACTCTTCAGCCAGGTGGGGAGTTCTTCAGACAAAACTCCCTGAGTCTTATATGTGTCTGGTTCCAGGGCTAGGGCACAGAAATAGAGCTTCAAATTCAAGAAGAACAGCGCTGGAGTGTCTATGGCTCTACTGCTTTTCTCTCCCTCCCTTCCCCAATCCCACCACTGCAGGAACCCCTCCTCCACCGAGCAAGAAGGGAGAAGCCTGTCCATCACAAGCAACCCATGCAAGCACAGCAACACAATCAATAAAGAATTGTTTGGAGATTATCAAGCCTACTTTACAGGGGGGCTAGTTCATCAAGGCTCAGGCTTAGGACGAACAATGGGATGGGAGTGTGGTGGGGGATAAAAATCACTTAAGAGAAAACTATGTTGATTCTAGAGCACTGGATCTCAGTTAGGGGTGCTTTTGCCCCCTGGGAGGCACTTGGCAATGTCTGGAGACATTTTGGGGTGTGATAACTAGGGTGGGTCAGGGACACTGCTAAACATCCTATAATGCATAGGACAGTCCCCCAGTACTAAGAATTATCCAGCCCCAAATGTCAAAAGTGTCCAGACTGAGAAACCTTGCTCTCTGTCTCCCTGCTCCCAGGTTGTGAGGATTGTAAGGTTCCTAAACTCCCAGATGATTGTTTTCAACCAATTTATCTCCCCACCTTCCATCCTCCATGGTCAGGAAGGAAGTCCACCCGAGACATAACTCCTAGTTTCGCTGCCATCTGGATTTCTCTCCAGCTCTCTTCCTCATTTTCCTTCTCTTCCTCCTCTCACCTGGGCCAGCAGGGAGGTTAGCAGAGGGCAGGCCAGGTCCCCAAGACCTAACTGGAATGTCATCAGGGTAAGATCCATTTCTTACCTTAAGTCGTATTCAATGGGAAACAATAAGGTTTCTAACAGGAATGAGGGTAAGGACGGAGGTAGTAGCAGGGTGGGAGTAATTAAGAGAATGCATCTTAAATTTAATTTTAATTAATTTTTAAAAAGGAAAGATATTGGGGAGCTAGCAATGCTACAGAAACAGGGTTAGAGGCCTAACTAGAGAAAGACGCTGACATTAGCAGAGAGATATTGAAGGGCTGTGAGCTTAAGGTCTGAGATTTAAAGAGAGTAGACTAGGCAGTGGTCACCCTCCCAGCCCCTGCTTGACGTCTGCTTCAGTTCATTCAGAAGGAAGGAGAAGGGCAGAGGGGTAGGGAGCTTCACAGCAAAGCCAGCTCCAGCTTGGTAACCTCACCCACCTGCCATTTAAGGAGTTCAGGCTAATAGATTAAAAACAGGTGGCACCCAGACTGTCATTCAGGAGGAGGGAACTCATTCCAGGTTTCCAGAAACTCCTGTTTCAGATCTGAGAGTGTGCAGGGCTTCAGCTGAGCTCCTCTGGCCAGCCAGTAGCTACTTGGTCAGTTTTGCTGCCTTGACGCCATCTCCAGGAGGGGCTACAGCCAGAGGAAGTAGAGGGAGTCCAGCCCCCAAGCCTGTTGAGGCACTATCAGGCAGATAAGGAAAAAGGGGGCCTTGAGGACACAGGTTCTCGGAGGATCTGGTGGAGGCAGCATCTCTTCTGGGCTGGGCACAGAGTGGAGACTTCAGACAGCAAAACATTCCTGTTGGAGCTACAAGCCCCTAGAATTGCTCCACGGCCTGTCTCGGTTTCCCTTGGATCTCATCTGCTCCTGAACAGCACCTGTCATGGCAAGTCCATCTCCTGCCTCCATCTCCCCAGAGCCAATGTGAGTCAGGTGGACAAAATTCATTGGTTCCCCGATCATGGTCCGATTGATCCGTCTCCTCTTCTTCAGCTGGGGTTTCTCTACCACACAGCAGCCCAGTTTGTGCCAAAATTCACCCGTGTTGCCTGATGGTTCCGGTTTCACTCTTCTGTCTAAGGCCCCTGAGGGCTCTTGCTCAGGTGCCTTGACCACCTGCTCGTCACTCCCTTCAGGTGTCACAGCACCCTGGGTTCACTCCGCAGGACGGGACTAGAGAAAGGAGAGTCCTCGGAACCCTTAGATGAGCAGTAAAGGCCAGTGTCTCTGGTCCTGAGAGACCAGCAGGGCCAGAGAGTGAAGTGGGCAGGCAGGCACAAGATTATGTCTTCCTCAGGCTTGGAACCCTGCTCTGCTCTGGCATTGAGGCGCCCAGCTAGAGCTTGTTGGGGGGCTCCTGCTCGATGCCCACCAGTGTGGGGTTCCCGGACTGGCTCCTTGGTGTGGTGGGGAGCCGAAGGCAGGCCAGCAGAGGTGGGGCTCTGGCCCCAAGGGTTTTAGACAAGAGATTGTAGCCTTATAATTGGGAACATGAAAGAGGATAAGATCATGTCAGGAGAAACTATAGACAAAAAGCAAGTACGGGACAGGGAACAGCAACATTTTGGACTAGCCAAAGGAAGGGTGGCCAGCAAAAGGAAGAAGAATGTTCTCAGGGTGTGTTGATCAGGAGAGTTCAGAGTCAGAGTCATGGAGGCCAAGAGGACAGAGCTTTCAGCAAGAGGAGGAAGGCTCCCAGTGACTCATCAGTAGCAGGGGGCTAAGAACCAGGAACGAGGACTTACCCTCCAGAGTGGGCCATTGGCTGTTGGTGGGTGACCATGGCAAGTGCAGAAGACCAGCAGAGGCAGAAGCTCAAATGCAGTGCACCCTGGGATGAATGGGAAGTGAGGAGAGAAATTATACAATTGCTAGGGGGGGTAAGGGCGTGTGATTTTAGCCTGAAGAAAGCCTTGGACGTGTTAATAGGGAAGAGAGGAGGAACAAAGAGTGGGTGAGAGGTTGAAAAGAAAGGGTAGAGAGAGGAGAAGTAAGAAGGTAGGATAGGAGGAAGCAGGAAGAACTCAGGTGGGGTTGGGGCAGGGATTCATATAGAAGAAGTGAGGATGAGGGTTGGTCTAGAACTGAAGGAGGGACTCCTTACCTTCTGAGGTTAGAAGAAAAGGAATGAGAAAGGGATTGGATGTAGAAAAATGGGTAGGTAGGAAAGGACATCGTTGAGGTTGATCATCTGATTTCTTCTATTTTGTCACTGAAACAGATTAGTTTATCTGCCTAGGCCAGGGATGGGCAAACTTTTTGACTCGAGGGCCACAATGGGTTCTTAAACTGGACCGGAGGGCCGGAACAAAAGCATGGATGGAGTGTTGGTGTGAACTAATATAAATTCAAAGTAAACATCATTACATAAAAGGGTACGGTCTTTTTTGTTTTGTTTTGTTTTATTCATTTCAAACGGGCCGGATCTGGCCCGCGGGCCGTAGTTTGCCCACGGCTGGTCTAGAGTAAAAGGGGTGCAACTGGAAAGGGATCATAGGAAGAGGTGAAAGTTTGGTGTAACGCAAGGGAGCAAACCGAGGAAAATTAGAAACATGAATAATTGATGGTCTAAAGTTAGAGAAAATGTAGTGACTTTAATTGACACGATGACATGATTTCCCCCCCATCCCTCAGTTCTATGCACAGAGATGTTAAACAACAAAATACCTGTGTAGCCATTAAAAGTTGTCACAGGGAATATTCACTGGCAAGGAAAAATGCCTCAGATACGCTGTAGGAGAGACTGCCGGCAGCATCCTAGAACCCCTTAGCATGCATCTCTGTGCAGATTTCTGGTCCTGAACGGCTGTTTGCTGTGACTACACGGAGCTCTCTGCCTGAGGCTCTCCTTTGGCCAGGCAGCGTGCTAGAAGTCAGTGCTAGGGGAATGCCCATCAAATCCCAGGGGAATTAGTCCTTCCTCCTCAAACTTCCCAGCCCTAGCCACTACGAATGGAAAGTTTATGGTCAAATACTTTAGCTTCCTCAGTCCTCCTTGGGGACGATTGTGAGATGTTTTCTACACTGTTTCTAAAAGTTCTCCAGCAGAACTCAGCTCCAGTTGCAACACGGTGCCAATTGGATTAATTATACATTTATTGGCTTCCTTCCTGTAATGATTTTTTTAAAGGCCCCAAAGTCTTTGGCATTCCTCCCATTAAGTGGTAAGATCAATGTCCTCTCCCCTTGTGGGCTTGTGATGGCCTTGATGAAAATAGTATGGCAGTATTGACACCATAAGATTTCCAAAGCTAGACTATAACAGGCCATCAGCTTCCACTGATTCTCTCAGACACTCACTCTTGGGGAAACCGGTCACCAGGTAAGAAGTCTGACTACACCCAGGCTGCTGTGCGGGAGAGCCCACATGCAGATGCTCTGGTCCTTAGACCCAACTGAGCTCCCTGCAGACCCTCAGCATTAACTGCCGGCATGGAAGTGGGCCATCTGGGACATGCAGCCCAGAGAGCCTTCAAATGCCTGAAGGCTCAGAGGACATTTCACATTTGAGCTCTTTCCAAATTCCTGATGCACAAAATTGTATGCAAAATATAAAGGTGCTGTTTTATACAACCAAGGAGTTACTTGTTCCACAGCAATAGTGACTGGAACATTGCTCTTTCCTGTATCTCTTCCCTGCTTTCCTACTGGTATTTCCTGGGGTCACCTTCAAAATAAGTTATGTGCTCTTGAATGTATAGTTCAGGATTTGTTGCTGGGAGACTCAAACCAAGAAAAACTATGTTATAAAATAATAACTATAATCACAACCATGAAAAAGCACCAGGGAAAATTAGGAAAATATGTAAAAATGTTAACCAGGTTAATTTTTAGGTCAGAAGATTGAGATTGATTTTTATTTTTAATATTCTTTTTGTATATTTTCTAAAAGTTATAAAATATATATGTATTTTTTAATCCTTACCCAAGGATATGCATTTATTGATTTTTAGAAAGAGAGGAAGGGAGAGAGAGAAAGAGAGAAAGAAAGAAACATCAATATGAGAGAGAAACATCAATCAGTTACCTCCCATATGCGCCCAACTGGGGACTAAACCTGCAACCTTGGCACATCAGACAATGCTCCAACCAACTGAGCCACCCAGGGATCTCAGGGTCTCTTTTATAAGGTCATTAATCCCATTCATGAGGGCTCTACCCACATGACCAATCACTTCCAGAACGCCCCACTTCCTAGTACCATTCATCACATTGGGGTTAGGATTTCAACATTTGAATTTGAGAGGGACACAAACATCCAGCCTGTAACAAATATTAACAACTAGAGGCCCAGTGCATGAAATTTGTGCATGGGGGGGGTTCCCCTCAGCCCAGCCTGCACCCTCTCCAATCCGGGACCCCTCGGGAGATGTCGACTTCTGGGATCGGGCCTAAACCAGTAGTCAGACATCCCTCTCACAATCCTGAACCACTGGCTCCTAATCGCTCACCAGCCTGCCTGCCTGGTCCCCCCTAAATGCCCCCCCCCCCGCTGGCCTGATTGCCCCTCACTGCCTCTGCATGCCGCTCTGATCGCCCCTAACTGCCCCCCCACTGGCCTAGTCGCACCTCACTGCTCCCCCCTGACAGCCTAATTGCCCCCAAGTGCCCCCGCCCCCTGCCAGCCTGGTCACCCCTCACAGCCCTCCTGCTGGCCTGGTTGCCCCACACAGCCTGCTTGTTCAGTCATTTGGTTGTCCCTCATTAACCCCCCTGCCGGCCTGGTCGTAGGCAGCCATCTTGTGAGGATGTGAGGGTTAATTTGCATATTACCTCTTTATTATATACGATAGTCACTTAATAAGGAAGTAGTTTTCCTACCCCTAGTCATATACGAGGTGGCCGAGACATAATGATGTTTGATGAGCTGGCAGGTACACTTAACTTCTGGGCCATCCCACCCTGCATTCCTGTGACTGTACTCCAGGTTGGGAGCCTGAGGCCATGACTCTTCATCGGTGGCTCAGGAGAGGGTGTGAGGAGGCAAAGTGTCAAGGCTCCCCAAACCGTACAGCTGGTCGGAGGCTTCCCAAGACACCAGAATGTGCCTAGGGTGATGACTGGCAACAGCAGTCTGAACCAGCATTTCCCTCTTCCTCCCTGCGCTTATACTTTTCAGCAATGTTTATTCATTTCCTCCCCGTGTTCTGATTGGCAAGCACACGGTCACTTAAGCATATTGAGAATAAGGGGGAACTCCAAACTGCTTGAGGCTGGGAGGAAGGTGAGGAGAGCCCAGAGAGGGATGCAATCTCCTGGGCACTGTTCAGTCACCAGGGGAAGCCTCGGGTGGGCTAAGGTGAGCTCAGAGCGTAAGTGGGGTAGGTGGGCGGCACTGTGCTTTCGCTGACATTCTCTCATTTGCCCTTGCCACACCCTGTGATGTGAATATTGTTAAACTTATTTTAGAGATGGGGAAAATGAGGCTCAGAGAGGGTGACTGATTTGGCAAAGGACACACAGCATGAAATGGCAGAGCTGAGATTGTAAATCACTTGCAGTTTCTATTTCAGGATACCGTCTGTCTCTTCAGTTTGGCCACTCTACATTTGATTTCCCTGTACCTCCTTAACCCTCAGATTAACAGTGTGTGGGTTGGACAGTGGTCGGCAAACTGCGGCTCGTGAGCCATATGTGGCTCTTTGGCCCCTTGAGTGTGGCTCTTCAAAATACCATGTGCGGGCGCGCATGTACAGTGCAATTGAAACTTCGTGGCCCATGCGCAGAAGTCGGTATTTTGTGGAAGAGCCACACTCAAGGGGCCAAAGAGCCGCATGTGGCTCGCGAGCCGCAGTTTGCCGACCACTGGGCTAGGGTAGCAAATGACCTGACAGTGTTAAAACTTAGGTAGTTTGTTTTTAGTATGAACCTCAAATTGTGCCATATAGTGTGATCCGTTGTCTCATTCACTAACATACAAGGCTAGCATAGTCAGTTTCTTTTTAAAAATATGTTTTTTTATTGATTTTAAGAGAGAGAGGAAGGAAGGGAGGAGAGAAAGAGAAAAACATTGACTGGCTGCCTCCCCTACACACCCCGAGTGCACCCGACCAGGGACCAAACCTGCAATCTCGGTATGTGCCCTGACCAGGAATTGAACTAGCAACCTTTCAGTTCATGGAATGACACTCAACCAACTGAGCCACACCGGCCAGGACATTACATAGGCACATATTTTGAACTTAGCTGCTACCAGTTTTTAAATGGGTAAGCTGAGAGCCACAGCTAACCGATTCAGATGTTAGCAGGGCTTCTGTACCCATTACTATCCGCACAGACAGACAGTCAGACACCCTAACACCCCAAACAAATAAGGACCTTGTAGGCAAAGAGATTGATCAACTCATTACCTATAGCACCTATTCTGTAACTAGATAGAGCAGTTCATCTTTCCCTGGGCTAGCCATAATACTTTCAGAGATTGCTATTTTTTTTTTTGGCAAGTAACAGAAATAGAATCTCAAATACATGTAGCATTAAAGGGTGAAGATAGAATTTTCTCTCCAAGATTGATAATGAGGAGATAGGTAGTGCACATAAATAATGAGTCCAGCACGTTTGTGGAGTGAAATGAGGTCGGTCCTGTGTGAAAGATCCGCCACTTGGTACTCCAGCAGCTCCCTGGGCCTTTGAAATGCAGCCACGGCCAGGACCTCACTTGTGCAGGACTGTGCACCTTTTAACCCAGCCTGAACGCCAGCCCTGGGAGCAGTGCATTCAGCAGCGACGTCAGGAAAAGCAGACCTGCTGACATGAGTGTTCAGACAAAGGGAGGTGCAAAAAGAGCCTTTTAGACATTTTTTTTTCTTTTTCCTTTTTGTGTGTGAACGGTGACAATGAAGGGAAGAGACAGGCCCGAGGAACCATGGGAAAGAGGAGTCTCCAGCCCCTCGCACCCTGCTTCCCACATTTCCACAGGCCTGGTCTGCTTGCAGATGGAAGGACTTCTGAGGTTCTCTGACATCCACAGCCAGCCCAAGCCACAAAAGTACGACTTGTAAGAGTCACATGTTGGCCCCTGTGTATCATGGTAGCCACCCCGGAACCCTTAAGACTCAGACAGTATGGAGAAGTTTCTTGGGAATGGGAACTTGCCTGGAGTCCATGCGGAGTGTGGGGAGAGCAGGGCCCGGCTGCCGAGAGCCTTACACTGAAACCCCCGCGGCTCAGCTTACCAGCTGCGTGGCCATGTGTGTCACTGGAACAGGCTGAGCCTCAGTGTCCACAGCTACGAAGTTCACTCCACAAATGCGTGTTTAGCGCCCACTCTGTGCCTCTCTGAGCTGTGCCAGGTGCTGGGATACAGGGCTGCCCTCAGGGAGGTTCCCACACCATCTCAAATCCTCTCAGGGAAGTTTCCTTGAAGAATTGTGATCTGAGCTCATAGTGGGGGTTTCTGGAACCCTGTGGGAGAGCTCTTTTATTATAAGTTGAAAGCTTATTTTTTAAAAATATTTTTATTGATTTCAGAGAGGAAGGGAAAGGGAGAGAGATATAGAAACGCCAATGATGAGAGAGAATCAGTGCCCAACTCCTGCACGCCCCACACTGGGGATTGAGCCTGCAACTCCGGCATGTGCCTTTGACCAGGAATTGAACCATGACCTCCTGGTTCATAGGTTGATGTTCAACCACTGAGCCACACCCGACAGGCACATAAATTGATAACTTCTTGAGCATCATTCCTGGACAGTATCAGAGCAGACACGGGACATGTGTACCAGGTGTGGAGTGCTCATGTCTCCGGCTTCCCGAGGAAGTCACAGCTAGCTCTGAAACCCCTGCGATATGGAGCTTTGTCGTGAACATGGCAAACTCTGGCTCTCTGAGGTGGGCTCCTCACAGGTGCATCTCTTGACTCAGGGGATCAATACAAAACCCAGTCAGTCCAGGGGCCCAGGTACAGATTCTGTTTTTCTCCTAAAGTTCCATTGTCTATCTGTTTCCTGGAAGTTAGAGTCCATCCATGAGTACACCTACTATGTGCCAGGTGCTGGGCTTGGGAGAGGGTAGGCCTGACCCTGTTAGAGTCTGCTATCTAATGTTTTGTGTATGTGCATTGGGGAGGGAGGTGCAGTTTGATAAAAAGACATTAAAGGAGCTGGTTATGCACATAGACCCTGAGTCAGACTGCATGGGTTCAAATGCCTCCATTTCTTCCTCTGTAAACTGGGGCTAACCCAGTTACAAGAATTAAATATACATATATACATACAAATCACTTAGAATAGTGTGAGGCATGTGGCAAACGCTATGTAAGTGTTTACAATAGTGTTAGGTCTTAAAAGCACTGTGAGGGTAGCCCAAGGGACTACGGGTGGTCTGAGGGGTGGCTTTCAGGATGTGACCTAAGGACGAGTAGAGTAGAGAGAGCTGCGGGTACTGTTCCAGGTAGCAGGGCGGTCAGTGGTGGCATTGAGGGGAAACGATGGAGTCATTTTGGTTACTGTTGTTTTATAGAAACAATGTTGTGGCCTGGCCAGGTAGCTCTGTTGGTTAGAGCATCATCTGGATATGCCAAGGTTGTGGATTTGATCCCCGGTCAGGGCACATACAAGAATCAACCAATGAATGCATAGATACATGGAACAATAACTCTCTCTTCCTTCCTCTCTCTCTCTCTCAAATCAATAAATAAAAATAAAAAATCACACACACACACACACACACACACACACACACACACACACACACAGTTGTGAATTGAGTGCCTTCTCTGTGCCAGGCACTGTGCTGGACACTGGAAACACAGTGGAGTGAGGAGTGAGTGTGGCATGTGGGAAGAGCACGACTGAGCTCCAGAGAGCCTTACATTGCAAGTCGTTGTTTAAATGGTGAAAGCCGGAGAAGTACAAATGCCAAATCATTTGATTCAGATCACTGTATTCATGTAAATTCTGCAGTCGTGTTGGTGAAAAATAACTTGTTTTCATTCAGGCAAGCCTTTCCCCTGATCTGACAGCTGCATATCTATCTAAAATGAGACACTTTGACACCCACAGCTCTGATCTCAATTGGACAGTTTCCCCCACAC